TTATTTATTTATTTTTGCAGAACTGGGGATTGAACTCAGGCCCTTGTGCTTGCCAGGGAAGCACTTATTCTACTGAGCCATCTCCCCGGCCCCTGCTGTTGGTTTTTAGGTTAAGCTTCCCAATGCATAATAAATTTGCAATGATATATTATGTCATTTTCTTACATGAGAGCCTCAAATTAGAAATAAAGACCAAGAGCCTGGCATGGTGGCACAGCCTGTAATCCCAGCCCTGGAGAGTCCGAGGCAGGAGGACCGCTATGAGCTCAAGGCCAAAGACGCGGTCTCAAAAGAAAAAAGACTTTTTTTTAGAAGGCAGAAGGAGGCCCTAGGTTCCAGTAATTGCACTGGGTAAATCGGGACAAGGAAGCTGTTCCTGACCCAGGTGATTCACCAAGTGACACGCACAGTCATACTTGTACAAAAGCCTGGACACTGGTGGGCCAGCCCACAGAGACCCACAGCAGCTGGGGGCCACGGCCAGGGCCGGGCATGGGGCACCGCGTGGGCGATGTCGACCCTCGCCTTGCAGCTGGGCAGCAGGGGTGTGCACTGCACGCAGTCTGGCCGACTGCGCGGTGCCAGCCCCGTCTCCGGTGCACCACGCATGGAGGCAGGCCAGCAAGCGGGCGCTCGAGAAGCGACTGCATGTTCTGTGTGAACGGTAAAAACAGCAGTGTGCGCTACTTCCTGTGTGTATAAAGGGCAAAAACACTAACACACAAAATTTGAAGTTGAAATTCAAACTAGTGTCCATGCGTAATTGCAGCTCCACGGAGACCCACAGTAGTAAGAGCCGCCCCACAAGGACTGGGAACTGGCGTGGTTGGCACAGGGTTTGAGCGCTCTCTCCCACCTCAGTTTCTCCAGGGCTCCTCTCCCAGGAAGGGGGACAGTCGGCTTGGCAGGAGCTTTGGGGGCAAGGGCTGCCACTCCATTGCAGTCACTACCCCAGGCTGGCTTGGGAGTAGTGATCTTTTTGCCTCAGCCTCCTGAGTGTTGGGTCTGTGGCTTGTGCCATGGTGCAAGGTGCCACAGTGCCTGGCTAGGCCCCTCCTTCGTTAGGGTGGGACAGAAGAGGCCTGGGGGAACACATGATGGGATACAGGGGGCCTCTGGTCCCAGCCGGGCCCCTGGGGTTCACCACAGAGGTCTGAGTGCAAAGTGCGGGCCTCGGGCAGCGCAACGGCTAAGGATGCTGAGTGTGCAGAGGGGGTGGCACCCGGAGCCCAGCTGGCCCTGCCTCCCTTCCTCCCTTCGCCTTTGTTCCCGGGAAGACAGCAGCTTTTATTTTCCTCTCTGGAGGCCAAGGGGAGGGGCTGGCAGGGCCTGGCACGGCGCCGGTGACCAAGAGGCCTGGGCTGCAGGGTCACGTTCCCCGGTAAGTGCACTCAGCTTCCTCACTGGGGAAAGGGAGGTGGAGGCCGCCACTGCGTGGAGGGGACAGCAGATCTCCTGCTGGGTACTGTGTGCCAGCCTGGGCAGGGGTCCTTGTCCCCTCACTAGACAGGACAACTGAGGCTGGCAAGGGACTGTCTCAAGGCTGCCTTGCCTGCTGGGAAGGCTCAGGCCTCCACTCTGGGAAGTGGGGCAAGGCAGGCAGCCAGGGGACCCACAATCAAGCCTCTTATCTCTGGTCGCCTGCCAAGCCAGCCCAGGCAGCACCACCTGGGGGCAGGAGTCAGCCATCCTCTCTCCTGGGGCTGGGGGTCGGGGGAGGGGAGAGGCGGGTGGCCAGGCGAGCCCATCTTGTGTCTTATGTGCTCAGGGATGCAGAGTTCATGGGGCAGGGGCATGGGCAGGTGGCCAGGCCCTGGGGTTGCGGGCCCACCCGTCCCGGGGCATGCTCTGACGCATCTTGCCTGTGTCCCCTGACACCCACTGGACATGCGCAGTTGCAGCCGGTGCAGGGAGGGGGTGGCAGGAGGTCCGCCAGGAAGAGGTCAGCCGGAGTCCAGCCCTGCTCCCGGGAGGATGGGCAGGCCCCCAGGGCAGGGACTGGCCCGGTCAGGCAGGGTGCGGCAGCCAGGTGTCCTGACTTCCAGCCCAGGGTTTGCACTCTCCGGGGGACTCACGCTAGACACCAGGAGAGGGTGGACGCAAGCCAGACCAGGCTGGGAGGAAGGACAGGACTGGCTGGGGCTGCTGGGGAGAGTGGGATGCTGCACCCACCAGGCCTGGCCTGGGGGGGGCGGTGATGCGGGCAGCACCCCTTGCCCTCTCCACAAAGCCTGGGAGGCAGCACAGCAGCCCATGGGCTCAGCCTCCTCCAACCACGAGGCAGCTGTCTGTCCCCCCCCCCC